TTCTTCTCTCTCTCTCTCTCTCTCTCTCACACACACACACACACACACACACACACACACACACACACACACACACACTCACACACACACACACACACACACACACACACACACACACTCACACACACACACACACACACACACACACCTCAGACCTCAGGCAGGCTCAGATCTGCCCATCGCGGAAGCGATGATAGCGAACAGCTATGTTAGACATAGCAACTTGTGGTGGGATTACACCATTCAACAGCTTGCAAGGCTGATGAATTGACCGCCACTAATTTTAGCCTGGTATCCACCACACAGCTGATTGAAGTGGCTTACACACACCACACACACACACACACACACACACACACACACACACACACACACACACACACACACACACACACACACACACACACACACACACACACTCACTCTAGAACGTTCACTGCACAGGAGCAGCAGGTGCACGTGAAGTGCTGTCCGGAAGCCAGTTGAATTTCCACCTTCCGACAATAGCAAGAGTGGGAGCTTATGTGCTCTTGGCAAAAGGTGTGCGATGGTCGGAGGACTGTAGGATCGGATTGATCACTGTCATCGGGTAGAGTTAGTTTCCGCAAGATAGAAGTCCCCGTTAGTATCTCGTACGGGGGGGGGGGGGGGGGGTAGATTCCTGTCACTGAAACATGCGAGTGTGAAAAGCGGTGATACACAATGTTCCATAGTGGTACTTAGAAGTGGATTCTGCTAGGACTGTTCATCAGATGGAGAGGCTTCCTGGTCGAGTGCTGTTTTGCTGAGTGTCTGGTCGCGTGCTGGGCCTAGGCCTGCACTGGCTGCAGGGTGATCGATGGTGTGCTTCCTAGGCTACACATGTGGAATTCTCATGACTCCTGGTGAGGGTGCATCTGGACCGTACTGGAACTGCGTATTGGTGTGATTTGATCGCGTGTTTGTTCATCACGCCGTGCGTGTGTTTCCTGACCATGATCTATAGAACTTCCCGCTGAGTTGCTAAGTAAGTTGAAGGCATGTAAACCATGTGACATCCAATCTCCGCAGAGAGCTGGATGGTAACAAAGGTCGGGTGTGTCCTGTCAACGAAAAATGGAGGGCGATGCTTCAGCCCCGATTCCGTGATAGCATTTTGTAGTAGCCAGTTGGAACGGAGCATGTAGCATTTGAATTACATGTACATTGCAACGAGCCACCACTCTCAGCCTGGGCAGTTCTTCCCACACGGCCACAGTTCCAGTTCCAAGGAGCTACTAACCAACATGGTAATTGCTTTACAATGATGTGTAGAAGTGAACCAATACTGGCAATAGTGTACATTGTAGGTCGTGGTGCAACCGATGATGACAATAACTAGAATATAGATGAATGATGATGTGTGACAGTTCAAGTTGCATTGTATTCTACAATACCACCCAAACATAGCAAAGGCCTCTGTATTGTCCCCTCGCCCCAAATGGCAGGTATTGATTCACTTCATGTCCCGGTAGATCTACTATGATACATGTATAGGGCAGCAGTCTACATGACCATGATGATGACTAGAGCTCAGTACAATGATGTCATGCAGATCTACATGCCACTGTTGTACTGTATTTCGGACAGTGTTGGTCCGTTCTGTCTGATGATCGATCGCTGTATGTGTGAAGCTCAAAGTCACAGCTGCTGGACAATCGCCTGGCCTTCTCTGTATTGTCTGCGTGTAACTGATGTACTGAACGAATGACCGTCTTCACAGTTTTACAATACAAGCTGGCGTCAAGCTGGCGGAAATATTAGAATGCTTTTAATACTCATGTTCTCCTCCTGAAGAAGGCTTCGAGTAACCATGGTAACGTGTATTGTGATTTGTGAACCTCATGATCGATGATCCGGTCATGGCAGTGAGTAAAGACATAAATAATTTGTACTTCAAGTACATGTAGCACAGCACCCACGAGTAGACTGATAGGCTGAGCCCTGACTGTATCTTCCGCCCAGCATGCACTCATCGACCTTCTGACAAGTAACCTGGTAACCGCGAAGCACGATCCTTGACTCCGAAGCGAAGGTCTCCGGAGAACAGAAGAAATACTGGTAAAAAAGGAGGTAAAAAAGTAGAGGAAATCGTGAACATGATTTTGGTGGCATTTGGAGTTCTGTTTGACCGTTTCCAACGTGACCTGTATTAGGCTGTCACTGAAGAGTGAAGTCACTTAGTGTAAGGCTCTAGGCTGTCGACATCTCTGTGTGCAGCCTGGCCACAGCTGATTTCTGCTGTAGCTAGTGTTGTTGCTTGGGAGTACCGGTGATTGATTCAGTACATCCTTCAGTTCAGTTTGTGATTTATGGCTGTTCCGAGCCTGCCAACTATTACTTTCTGTGCTTGTCATGCACGAAGGAAGAGGTATAATAAGCGTAAAGTTAGTTCAAGTTGCCATCGGCAATGCTGGCACCAGCGAACCTTTGTGCCAACCGGCCGTGATTGTGTTTGTAGTAAAATAATTGTGACATCTGAATTTCTAACGCGACAATTGTCCTACCGACATTAGGTTCCACCCGGTTTCTGTAGCAGCCATTGGCATTGGGCTCTATCCGTGGGTCTCTCTGCAGTTGTGGAAACAAGAAGTTGCCGTCAATGGAGCGCAGCATGATGAATGCAACAGGTGTTGGATCCTGAGTAGCGCACTTGCCTCCGCGGAAAGCACTCTGGTCCTGTATCATAGAACAAGGCATCCATGTGGGACGTACTCGAGCGTAAGAAGTTCTTTGTCACAGTTTGTGGCCTGGCGATGCCTGGGGTTTTACATTAATCAGTAGTAAACTTTTAAGAAATGACTGGGTTATTGACGTTAGTAGCCCAATTAATATTTCAGCCACCTTCATGATCACCAATCTATACGGATACACTGTAACCATGGTAACGTTAATTTATTATGTAACATGTGTATAGTGTCCACCGTATACATGTATGCACTGGTTTATTATGATGTGTCAGCTCACTGTCGCCATGGTCACTGTCAGTGCTGACCTAGTTAGTTAGGTTCCATGGTGCACCGGTGCCAGTGTGCATGTTGCAGCCCTGTACTGGTTTTTGGTGATGTTTTCCAGGGCAGCTGTCAGTAACTGGGAAACAGCTGGTTGCTTAGCTGTCGTTAAATGCTCTGCTCTGCTTGTTGAACTTACTTCTCCAACTCCACTGTTTGCCTCCTGGTGTGTTGTTGGCATTCGGCAGTGCTATGGTGACTTTGAACTCCTGTGTCGCTTCAGCGCAAGTAGTCATGTATTGTGTATGGAGTAACTACTAAAACATGAGCCGTAATCCTGGGAATCTATGTGTTCATTCACGGTAATAGCACTAGCAACAAGAACAGGAACAGGAATTGCTTCTTAGCAGTGTGTGTGTGTGTGTTTGTGCCATCGGATCCACCAATTATGCTCAGTCTATTCTGTGTCATGGCCTAGTGTAGTTATACATGTATTGAGTAAGTTCACAATCATCTGCACATACACTATTAACACCACATGCTGGGTAGCTATTCCCAGTATTCTCCAGCAAGCCGTGTTCTAGTTTCCCAACAAGAACACTGTTAAATGGTGTTGTATTGCTAGTCAGCAATGGCAATACAAGAATTGTTACAGCGGGGTTGCGGTAACACGCATTATGAATAATGAAATCCCTGGGCAGGGGTATGGGCATGTATCATAATCATAGTGTGTCTGCTGTGAGCTTACACATGGCCGGAAATCATGTTCCCATGTGTTCCCAATGCACGCTTTTAAATTAACCCGATACTTGTATGGACTTGTGCTGTGGGTACATATTGGGCATTTGGGTATTTGATGGCCCATGCAGCTGGGTAGCTGTGGGGTCTGGGGATGAGGGTCTAGGACCCGTGTATTACAGTACTGGCAATGTGATAGCAAAACTCAACACATGCAACCTGTTTGTTCCTATTCTGATTTGTGGACGACTGCGGCTGCAGCATGGCAATTGGGTTGTAAACTGGCTGATACATGTGTGCTAGCTAGGGGGGGGGGGGGGGGGGGGGGGTAGGGAGAACAGTTTGTATTATTTCAAAATAAGCATTGCTGGTTCAGTGTGTATGTATGTAGTATAGTATGTACATGGACATAGAGTATCAGCTTATTTACCCAACCTGCCTCACTGCACCACATTCATGTATCCTGTACTGTCTGCCATGAATCAAATGTCGGTGTACAAACTTTTACTGCCGCTTGTTTGTGCTTCAGCAGTGGCGGCGATTTTCTTTTGTGACCCACTGTTTTGCCACGGTGCGTTCTTCGGTGTCGCTTTTTCTCCGTCTTCGAAATCTCCTGCCCCTGCTCTCCGTGCGTTCATAAATTTCTTTTCCTTTTTCATCTCGCTGACACACATCTACATACAACACATACAACCGCACCAACACCTATGCAGGCACCTCAATGAACACCTATACCTCAGTACTGTACACGCACATGCCTCTACACACACCACACACCACCCTGTCCACCGGAAGGGTATCCTAGGTGTGCTTTCAAGCAGGCAAGAACACCCCCCCCTCCCCACACACACCCATATTCTCGCACATGCATGGCCATTTGAATGCTCAATGCCCTTCCAAGGCAAGCTAATGGGGTATCAATACAATGTACCAGGCAGTGGAGGATGAACGCAATATGTCATATTGCGTTCATCCTCCACTGTAAACTTTGAGGTGCGATATCCTGAGGATGAAAAGTGTTTTTTTGTTGTCCTCTGTTGTGCAGCCCTTCATTGGTATGTACTGACCCTGGTGCTGTTGTTGTTGTTGTTGTTGTTGTTGTTGTTGTTGTTGTTGTTGTTGTTGTTGCTGCTGCTGCTGCTGCTGCTGCTGCTGTTGTTGCTGCTGCTGCTCCTGCTGCTGCTGCTGCTGTTGCTGCTGTTGTTGCTGATGCTGCTGCTGCTGCTGCTGCTGTTGTTGTTGTTGTCGTCATCGTCATCGCTGCTGTTGTTGTGGCTATGTAACCACACATAGGTGATCTCTGACACACCCACGGTGGATCGCATGGAGCGGCATCTCAAGAGTCGTACCCGCCTGCTGGACTTGATCGGCAGTTACCCCAAGGTCAGTGTGACAGTATGACAAGGACTCATTCTCTTCTGGAGAAAACGTGTTGGTGATATGAGCTGGGATGGACTCGCAAGAGATGGTCTGGGAGATTTCACAATTTTGACGGTGCACAATCGTGGGTGATATCCATCTACTTGAGGAGGCTCAAGCTAACCCACTCACTGCCTTGCAAAATGCTGCACATTACTGTGCATGTATGCAGATTTTGCATCTATGACCATGCTCTATGACCATGCTCTATGACCATGCTCTATGACCATGCTCTATGACCATGCTCTATGACCATGCTCTATGACCATGCTCTATGACCATGCTCTATGACCATGCTCTATGACCATGCTCTATGACCATGCTCTATGACCATGTTCTATGACCATGCTCTATGACCATGCTCTATGACCATGCTCTATGACCATGCTCTATGACCATGCTCTATGACCATGCTCTATGACCATGCTCTATGACCATGCTCTATGACCATGCTCTATGACCATGCTCTATGACCATGCTCTATGACCATGCTCTATGACCATGCTCTATGACCATGCTCTATGGTGATTGGAAAGTAAAGGAAAAGACGGTTTCCGCTTTTCACGACAGTAGAAAATAATGCCATGAATGATGTATTTCAAGCGACCTACGGTTAACATGCAGCAAGTACACGGATGGAGTTGAGTGTATAGCCTCGTGCTTTGCGGCTGTTTCATGTGACATTGTTTGAGCCTTTCTTTGCGTCTCTTTATCTTGTTTCCATGGCAGGTTGTCCTGCTGTCTGGAGATGTTCACTATGCTGAAGTGAACTGCTGGAAATCCGAGCAGTCCAATCGTAAGTGTACAGGGACCACTCATTTAAGAGTTTGCATGTGCATGCATAGATGAAACGTGGTTTTGATCAACCACCCTAGGGGGATGGTGTTGTAGTGAGGGGGTTGTTGTATTCTGTTGCGGTCTCTTTAAGTACAGGTATCCTCTGAAACCCCAGGGTGATCCGTGGACATTGAGTACATCCAATGCCAGTGAAAGCCACTCTCACGGACCAGATGCTTACTGACACAAGGTGGTTCCTTTGATGTGTGTACATGTATGCCGCTTGTCCCGTGCGCAGGGCATGCCGTTCATGAGCTGACATCCAGCGGTATGACGCACACCTGTCTCAACTGGGGTATTCCGCCACTAGACAAGCTCTGCCATCTCACTCTGGAGTAAGTGTGTCCTTGTCAAATGTGCTTGTTGTATTATTCAAACTGAGAAATATGTTCTTACGATGAAGCTTGGATACAACTACGCTCTAGCATCCAAACAAAAATGTCCTTATTTCCGATGCGCCACTACAGTATATTCGCTCCGGGCATACTGGAAACATTGTGCCCTGGGCAACATTTTCCCGTTTGTTCAACACGGTTGATGAACCGTCGTATTACCCATGTCCAAGCTTCACTGTGGAGCGGAGCTCACCATGCAATTTTGTAGCCAGCTGCTTGGAAGAATAGAGTTTTAAGAGAAGAGAGAGGAGTGGACAGAGGTGGTAACGAAGAAGGATGGCAATTTAATATGGAGCTGCGAGCTCTGACCCGATCATTTGCAACCAGGTGCCACCATGTCTACTTGTTCAGTGGTCTAGGTCATCCACAGATTGCCAGGATGATGTGCCCACCTCTAAAAAAATACCTCTTCATCCTCAAGGTTTTGTAATTTTGTTTGTTTTTCGTTGTTTTCTGTTAACACTATTCCACAGGCTTGTGCTGCAATCTAAGTACAGGGTTTCACCACAGCTTCTCAAGAAGAACTTTGGCACTTTGGAATTTGACTGGCAAGATGAAAAGGTACGTGGCAATTATGCATAGAAATCTATTTGTGCTTGAGCATGTGTTGGTGGTAGCTTGCACAACCAACAAAATTCTTGTGCCGAAAAGTTACCAGTGTATTTTTTAAAGATAATACAAGTACTCTAGCTTAGTATGTGGATTTATTGATGTCTTCTGGTTGGCAACGTAATTCATTGACGGATCTAGGATGTCGAGGAGGGGGGGGGGGGCTGTTGTGAAGAATACCCCCCCCCCCCCCCCCCCCCCACACACACACACACACAGCTGGCCAAATTATGTACATGTATGTACTGTGTCAAGTATGTAGGCACAAGCATGTGACTGTACACTATCAAGGTACCAAACTCTTTAATAGAGAGGTTCCGGGGTACGATTTTCCGTGCCAAAATCCGTATGGGCGCTACGGATTTTTTCCAGGCGTGCTCCATACGATTTTTCGGCACGGAGAATCCGTGTGGACTGGCTTTCATACGAACCATGTTTCGTATGGAGATTTTGCGTCATCGGGTGCAGAAAGATTTTTCGCGTACAACTTTGGTACGAGAAACATCGATTTTTCGCGGGAAGTTTTGATTTCGGTACAAATTTTCAAAATAAAAAGGCATAGCGCGGGTAATGTGACGTGTTTGCGATCGTAACCTAGGCAATGACGGCAAACACATAAGTTCCATACCCCGGAACTTTTCACTGCTCGAAAACGACGTATACAAAATCCGTAGAGCCTCCACGGATTTTGGCACGAAAAATCGTACTCCGGAACCTCCCTATTGCCAAGAAATCAGTTTAGACATTGAAAAGGCCAGTGCTCTCGATTGACAGTGTGTGTAAGTACATGTACATGTATATACACTGTTTTTGTGTTCTTCTCTGGTGTGTGTGTCACATGACGCAGGGCAAGGTGACCTTCAATGCACACAGTGCTGATGGTGTGGAGTTCTCATACCCAGTGACCGTTTCTGAGCTGAGTTCGGTGAGCTTTGCCTGCTGGCACGTATGTGTTTGAATTATATTTTGTGATGTGAACTAGAACTTAGTTCTTTCATTGGTTACCCTTAGTTTCGTACATTCCACTGATGATCGGAACAGCAGGCCCTGGAGCCAGCTCCTCAGTGAGGGGTGGTACGGCCCCAGGTCGACTGCAGGGCCGATCATTTCCCCCCAGCCCCATTTTGTGTCATGGAGCGATGCACCTCTAGGTCTATGCTGCACCACACCTGGTTGTTCTGGCTATACACTATACATACCGCTAGCTACAGGTTCAAGTCCATTGTATGCAGTTAGCACAGTAGTTCACAAGACACGAAGAATAGTTTAGGAGGGCGACTCAGTAGTGAGGATAGTTAAGTCGTTATTTCCACTTAATTGATCATACACGGACAATCTGTGAAGCTGGGATTGATAAAACTGGTGCGGCTATGGCCATACCAGCCGTACCAGTGGCGCTGGCCCTGACCAGTAATCGATTCCGTATATAAATAACAATACATGTACACCTATATTTGGAACAAGTTACATGTTGTGTGGTGATGCCTGCGGCCTTCGTTCTATTCAAAGCTTTAATTTAAAGTATTGTCTCCTCGCAGATTGTCTGTTCATGTATTTCTTAGAAAAAATATTTTACTTACCACATGTAGAATGGTTATGCACTTCATGTATTTCATGTATGCACAATGTTTCTTGTTGTCTCCAGACTGTGGCAAAGTGTCCGCCGGTAGTCTCCAAGCCGCAGCCCGTGCACGTCTTCTGGTTCTGCTTTGCCGGTCTCTTCACCGGCGTCTTTGTGACCGCGTACATGTAAGGTGTTGCAGAGTTTCAAAATGACAATGTCGATTTGGTGCATATGTTCGCACTTGAGTGCAATGTATTGTATGCAGTGTTCTCCCAGTGTAGCATCCTCTCACAGTGTGGCTATGGGCGCAACCTTTGAAAAACAAACATGGATGCAGTGTGCTTTGACCTGCTAGAGTGCTCAATGTCCGTGATGGCCAGAGTGTAGTACACACCAGATACACAAAGGAACGTAGGGCTTTTTGTCATAACACAAAGTTGCCGTGGTAACAACCAATCAGCAGACATCAGGTTGTCTGATGATTGGTTATTACCATGACAACTCGGAGTTACAGCAAAAAGCCCTGCGTTCCTTTGTGTAGCTCTTGTGTTAAAACGAACATACACCCATTTATGCATGTGACCAATATTTTTAAATGAAGTGACATCTCCTGTTGAAGCATGACCAGCAGCAACTCACCATTCACTGTACGGTGTACACCTAAGTGCTATCCATTGCTACATGTATGGTCAGTTTTGGTCACACAACCTTGCCGTGGTGATAATCATGCCGTTGACTTTCACTTTGTGCAGGTCCTGGACTACACAATATTATTGTGGTGCGGCTGTAATCAATCCCAGTCTTGTGAAACTAGCCGCAGTGTCTCAAGCTGAGTTCACAGTGGTAATCTACCGACATGCTGGCAGGATGATTCTACAGTGTTTACATAGTATGCGATGGCTGGGCCCCCATCGTGCTTCCATGCTCGTGCCTGTTATTCACTTTTTCCTGTATTCTTTGTACAGGTTGCTCCATCTGTTCAAGTCTCTGCTGCGAGCCACCTCATCCATGATCCGTGGTTCACCCAGCTCAGGCACCAGCAAGAAAGTGCAGAAGAAAAGGCAGTGATCGTGTCCTGCCTGTTCGATGCTCTACGCCATCTGCTTCCACGCAGTCTGTCCTTGTCACGCGCAGGTGGAGCATATCAACCGTTGTCCCGTCACAGCCACGTAAGCTGCAGTGTTGGGTTCCTTCCATGCTGAGCCAGTGCCTGCACCGTGGCTCATCTACCCCCCGTATCGCCGATCTCTTATTGGTGATGGATACTGTTCTCTCTTCATTATACCCTAGGGAAATCCCCTGTGCTGGTGCTCTCACTTCTGCAGTCAGGGGGCACTTCAGAACTTTCCGGCCTGTAACGCTCCACTTTTTATCCCCGAATGTCCCTAGCCAATTTGGCCCTTGCTTTGAGTTTAGCTCAGCTGTACGTGTATGCTCAACGTTGCGAAAACAGTGCAAACATACCACTGTGGTCGTGACACACTGCAATTGCGTGTGCTTTTCTTATAATAGTGCGGTATCTATGCCGGATGTTTTTTTAAATTTTTAAATTCGCTTAGTGAGATAAAATTGATACATTGATAGCTTTCTGATCTGATCTGAACAAGTATGGGCGCGGGCTGTCCGTGAATGGTCGCATACAGGTACGTGTTGCGGGAAACGATGCTGCGACATGATACTTGTGTTCTTCAGCTGGCTTGGTAGTTCTGAGATGAAACGGATGCAATCTTTAAAAAATAAGTAAATACTTATCACTGGTCCGCATATTGGGTATGTGAAGACCGGCTAAGCTTGTTCGGTCTCGCAATCCTATTTCCATTCCTGTTCGCCCCGCTTTACCAATTTTACCGCGTGGCCGTGAAGTGATGTCCCAGCACGACTGCATGCAGTCAAGCAACCCGAACTCATCATAACCTTGCTGTCACTGTGCATACTGTTATTCAGCTGTCAACTTTCAACACGGATACATGTATGTATTCAGCAGTGTGATCAGAGGCACTGAAAATGTCCCATATTACCACCCCCATGGTCAAGCCCGAATCCTGCGAATGGAGAGAACAAGAGCAGTGGAGCTACATGTACATTATGCTACAGCTGTATACACACCAGCGCTTTGGCTGAGTGGTTGTGGGCTTGCCTGCGAATCACAAGGTCCCGAGTTCGAGACCCGCGCTGGGAGCAGGGAGCGTATACTGTGCTAGCAAATGCGGTGATGCATGCGTGAACCACTTTACATGCAGTGAACTGCGCCGACACCCACGGTCAACTGGGTACTCACTACTCGGAGTGAGGGTAACATGGATGCAGCTAACGAGGTTAGCCCCCTTGTCGGGCATTGGTTGGGAGACTTACCACCTCACCCTCGCCATTAGGCGCTGCATCTGCCACCCTGGTAGCACAGGCATGGTGGTGGCCTGGCACATGCGAAACTTCCTAAGCTGGTTGTGTTTCTCAACGCAATTATAGCCGGTGGTAACGCGGACGTGCAAACTTTACTTTACTTACTTGTAGACATGTATGCTGTATACTGGTATGTACTGTATATGCTGCATATGCAGCTAGTCCCCAGTTTTGTTCTAGTGTTCCTGTCCGCCACAAAGAGGCTTCCTAGGAGGATTTCATGAAATAGACTTTAGAGTGTTACATCTGTGTTAAAGCAGTAGTATGAACTCAGTTTAAATTCAACATTCTTTCCCAGGAACTACTTCGCTGAATCGAACTACAGTACTGGACTGTAGTCTGCGATTGAAAGAGTCTTCCTGGTACGGTGTATGGCAATGATTTGGGACGATGTGATCTGCAGCGATTTAGCTTGACGACCTATTGATGGCTGTTAACTACTTGTTCACATATACATACAGTACTTGATGTAAATGTACGTATACAGACGTATACAGACGTATACAGACGTATACAGACGTGTACAGACGTGTACAGACGTGTACAGACTTCATGTTACATTAGGTCCTGTGTGTATTCATCGGTCATTCCATGATTCGTGGACGAGAAGTGGACTAACATCCGCTGCTAGTGTAAATGGGGTGTTCTCTGATGCAATCACTGAATCAGGTCCGTATCTTCATTGTACAGTACATGTATTCTTTCCTTCAATCTGTGCTGTGATCTATCTTTCCTTCTATTGATAAGTGCTTCCGACGTTCGGCGGTACAGTAATAGGAACTAGCTTTGGTTACTAGAATCCATGTATACATACCGCCCACGACAACGACGGTAAAGAAAGGTGCTTTGATACGAAGTGTATAGTGCAGCAAAGCTCCGTGTTATCAATGTACAATGTATTGTTACTCCTGGGGAGATACAATGTATTTGTAAAAGTAATTAGTTCCCCCCATCTACCCCACGTCTGTACAGTGTAGTATTATCAATATCGTGTTGTATTCTACTCCGATCCGACGGTGTGAGCAAACTACTAGTATCAGCAAGAGTATGTACTCTTGGTATCAGAGTTGGCAAGTTATGAATCCTCCTATGGTGAGCTCCCTGGGTTTCTTGCTACTACATTTTGCATCACGACTTCAACGACAATGGGGGCTCTATGGGAGTCGCTGGGAGTCCCCACATGGAACACACTAACTCATTCTTGACATGACGGGTATACATGTACATGTATATTGTTCTCAAGTGTTCCCTCACACAAGAAGTTAGTGTCTCCTCTTCAACCACGTGCGTGTATTGATGCTCCATCCCTTCTCAGGCTAGCCCAGCCTCACACCAGCTTCCCACTCTTCTACTTTGAAGCGGTCCTTACGCCGGATGGCACGCATACGATTGCCACTGGCCAGGGGTCCTTTATCCTTTGAGGGAATTCGAGAATTTCATTTCATGCTCCAGGAATATCCAAAGTCATGTACTACAAATGCAATGCAATGTAGTACTGTGGTAGTACTGTGGCGTGCGAGGTGCTAGTGCTGTATACGGCTTCCCAAGGTGTTTATTGTTTATCCTGAATAATGTGCATGACTGTACGCATGCCTGATTCCAGTAGGCGTGCGTATTCATGCAAACATTTGATTCAATTCGAGGCAAATGATGTGGTGTCGTGGAGTACAATCATGCTGTCCAAAGGCTGTTTAAAAAGAAGTGGATTTGGCACATTACGGCGTATTAGAGCCGGTGATGTGAGCAGGAAATTGGTTACATGTACTTGTGCATCTCTTCGTTAGAATGGTTAGGGCATCTGTTATAGGCAAAGGTGACCTGCGAATGCAATACAATGCATAGGATACGCATACTCTGTACTGACGCCGTTATTGATTGTAGCGGATTTTAACACTTCCGTGCATAGTATTCCTGTATACAATACTCAATACTCAATAGTTACGAATAGATCACGCTGCCCCTCGGGTGCTATTACAAAGTAGCAATAATGATACACCACGCATACATGTACAATGTACATGTACATGTAGTCGATGTGAAAAAGTAAAATAATAATGATTTAGAGTCATGCCTCTGTTGACAACATCGAGCCAGTGCATTCAGACTTTCAGTGCTACACTGACCTGCGTTTACGATGGAAATCAAGAACAGCTGTGGACTTCACACTAAACGCTCACTGCTGCTTGTTATGTGAATCGGGTTATCCCTTCTTACAGTACACATTGTCTTCAGACGAACACAACCATCATGAAACAGTGTATACAAATATTGTAAGTGTAATTGTAGCGGTATGAAGAGAAAGAGGGAAAACTGGAGATCCAATCATATCGGCCCACCATCCGGCCAGGCCTCACTTCACTCACTCCACTTTGTCACACTCCATCCACGGGGAAGAACTAATGAATGCTACATGGTGCATGAGTATGACTGTGTTCGTGAGACTGTCGCAGGGATGGGGTCCACCACGCACTGTCCAATCTGTTACCTCTGCGTGGGCCACCTCCTGAAGCCTGAGGCTGTCAGTGTGCTGTACAGAGAATTGCGACATGACATTTTCAATTAATTTCCTTTCCTCGTCGTTGTAATGTACTTCTGGAGAATTCAGAACGTGTGGGAGTATAGTGTACATGACTTTACTATTATTCGTTTGGACGAGTCGACATCTGTACTGCGTCGATTTCACCCGGCCTTTTGGCGTCTTGTCTTTGTCCTGCTGGATTCCTGGGCACGTAGCCTGGGGACCAACCCCACACAGTTTTAGACGCCAAAAGGTTGTGTTAGGCTTTGAAAATGATCAAGCCTTGGACAATAGGCCAATGGGTGGGAAGTAACTTAGTTCAGGTACTAGTATGTAGCCTGCCTGCTTTGACAAATGTTCCCTGTTCACATTGGACACTGCCGGAAGCACTCCGCATGTTTCAGACGCGAGCTGTGTTTCGTGTTGTCGTCCGGATAGGCACCTGGCTCTTCAGTCCTGTATTGGCACACACGATCACATAATGACATGTTAGTTTAATAGTTACATGTGCTGGGCGTGCACCGCTCCTAGCCGACCGGACTTACAAAGTTACATTGTATGTGAGCGGACAAGGTAGAAATGGAACGTTAGCTGCATGACATCATTTTGAGATACAGGCGTTTGAAGTTTGGCAAACTGTGGCATATTTTTTACCTGGGTTAGAGGGCTCTATTTGCATCAAGCGCTTGTGCCTCGCTCAGCACAGGGCTTCAAGGTCCAGCACTGAAAATTTGAAGTGAATCCGTTATGGCTGAAGGAAGATATGGCAGCTAGTTGTGCGACGTGTGGCGTATTGACGGGCGAATTTGGAGGTGACGGCGATCAGCTGATGGCCTGCTGTCAGGTGCTGAGAGCTTCTCTGATTCTGAGAGCGTTTCTGAGTCAGGTAGTAGTCGAGAGCGTCTTCCACTACGCCGAAAACGACGTGCCGATCAGCGTTTTGTTTGCTGCTGGCTTCAGCACGGTACAAAAAGACATAGGGAACAAATGAGATGGATCTTTCGGATGCAGGCGAACGTGGTGACAGCAGTGATGATGATAACACCAATGAAGGGGAGCGTTCCTGTGGATGCTGAGTTGTACTGAATGTATACGCCGAACTGACTTCAGAGCTCTGAAGCACACAGCGCAGGAGCTGAAGAAACAATAGCGTCGTGCACCACAGGGGAACGTATGCAGGGACTTAATAGCCCAGAACTGGGCAACTAGCTAGCTGTTGCCCAATGCATTGGATGCAAGTGGCAGACCTGCATCGTGCACTGTCTGGAAATGAGTGTTTTAAGAATTGAGATACACAGAATGGTCAAGGCTGGTGAACATGAGCTGAGTGGAAAGAAGTCAAATCGGGCCTCGGATTGCGGACTGATGTGTAACGTTACGTTAAGTACAGTTTCTCAAGTACTCGTCCTGCTTCGCCAATGGGCACCGTATTGGTGGTGCGTCTCCGGAATATTATTTCGATGCTGTGTGTTCAAGAGCTGTCTGCCTCCTGCCAAAATGGTACAAACTATATTACCAAGGTGCGCCGCTCAGTCGTCGGGAGCCTCAATGCATCAGAGCAGAGTCCGAGGTCGCCAACAGTATACGATGAGAGTGTGCACACATGGCTGAAACAAGAACGCACTGGAATTGCCATTTGTCCGCCAAATTCTTCTATTTTTGACATGTGTGTAGTGGTATTTGATGTGTGGATTGAGTACCAGCTTCAACATTCCTATTATTTTGCCTTGCATCACGAGTTACTCTGGAGCTGATTTTTCGGCTCCGGCTGTTTCTAGTTATGTGGTTTTGTTGCTTGGTTCCACCTCAAACGAGTCCATGTGTGTGATCAGCTCATCTTTCACACTGATATACACCTGTGGAGAAATACAGGCCAAGAAGTAATGGTTTTTTTTCAGTGTTTTGGTTGTACTGAAGGGTGGACTGTTTAAATCATCCCGAAACAGACGTTAAAATACTGACCGGCATCTAGAAAATAGTGAATGTAAGGCACTTCCCACCATAGTATCAGCCTGAAACTTTGGGATCTGAAAAACAGATAGTTGT